GGAAAGAAGCCCAGCAGAAAGGGTACAGGAAAGCAAGAAAGGTAAAAAAAAGCTGTTCAAAAGGGGGAGAAGCAAGGAGAAACCAGTGCGGGTTTGTTTATTAAGAACAAGCCCATAATAATATCTAACAGAACATAAGGCTAAACTTCTGAAGAGCATGTTAGTCTCTTTGGCAGAATTAATTTTGTTCCATGACAAAGATCTGGTATTTTTTGCTTCAAATTTAAAGTCTGCTCTGCCTACCTGATCTCCTATAGAACGCCTAACTTCACAGTATTCAATATATGCAAGAAAACAGAACATTTCCAAATCAGTTATGCATTTCCAAATAGTAAGAAATGGTTTATTACTGCCAACATCCACTGATGGCCCTGGAAACGAGATGTGAAAATCTGTCTTCAAGCAAGAACAGGCAAGGGAAATGGTTTCAATTGGCACAGTCTTGTCCATAGTTCTCAGAGAAAACAAGAATGCCTCTTCAAAAGTAGATTAAGCAACTAACCTGAAAGGGAGCAGCACCATGTATGTACAGCTCAGTCTCTCGCAGCGAGGCAACACACAGCTTTTCTCCAAGAGAACTCAACCGTACCTATCAGCTGGGCTCAGGCAGGAGTTGGTTATATTGCAGCTGAGCACTTACACAGCAACACGCTATTGGAGAAGTACAGCAAAGGAATGAGGAAGGAAGGAAGGAAGGAAGGACACAGTATCTGAAAGAGTTTCACATCAGCACCATGAGATCACATGCTCAGAAGCTGATCATTGTTTTCTTGCAGGAGAAAGCTTTGATTAGGCTTCTATAAATACAGAAATCAGATCAGAGGTCTACCTCAATCTTGGCAGAAAGCAGCCTGTGCTTTAAAAAAAACATTTTATTTGAAATGCAACGTATGTTTGGGATTTGAGAGCATTAATTTTTATCTTAAAACAGCTGCAGAAACATAATGCATTGAGGTTACAATTAGAGCGCTCTCTATTTTGTGTATCTGAGATCTGACACTTTGGGTTAAACAGAAATTCAAAATGCTTTCCAAATTGGTGTCCAAAAATATCAGAAGAGCTGCCTCACACTCTTTTTTTCAAATGTCATTGCTATCAGCTGGAGGCAAGATGAAATTCAGTACTTACAGAAACCAAAACACGGGAATCATACAGGATTTTATCTCAGTACTTCGAACATGTTATAAACATTGACTCTAAATATATATTGGCCAGTTTATTCAGTAACACATTAAATGCAAAGTAATAAACTACATCCCAGAAAATGAAAATACATTTACCTATATTCATGCAGAAATTGTGTGGCAGAATAAAAAAAGAAGTGCAACCAACCTTTTATTTTTACATATTTAACACTTCCTTAAATGACTTCAAGTGCCTTTATAACTAGTATTATGCTTTGACTTTTGAGCTCACTCTTTCTTAATATTTCTTTTTTTCTCATGTAATAGGTTTCCCAGAAAGTTGAATTGCAGGTCTCCCCTAAATTTAAGTTTTGGGGAAAAAAAGGCAAAACTAGATTTTCCTTTTCATCCAACAGACCAAATGGTTCAGTGAACAAACCTCACTGGCTAAAAAGCCAAGAGTCCCAAAATTATTTGGTGTATAAAATACAAACCTGAAAGTTGACCCATACCTGCCTTCTCCATTTTAGCTAATTCCCTCAGTATTCATTTTTCAGTCAGGACTCACTGAAGAACTGTAGTTCCTATCAAAGATGTCCAATATACTCTCTAACCAGTATCTTTCTGAGCTCCTGCGTGCTTTCTATCCAGGTTACCACTGGTAATACCGCTGATCGTAATGAACACCACTTCAGTCTAACTGAAGTTCCATGCATTATGTGCTGGAAACCATTAACCTGCTTTAATTAGCCCTATGTCAATTTACAAACCAACCTGAAACAAACCAGCCTACAGTTAGCTCACAAACAAGTCGCTACTACCTCTGCGCATTCTGTGACTAACTTCTAAAATTACACTGACTCTGATCTTTAAGAGGCTCCTATAGGGACCTTTGAGGTCATCTGTCTATTCATATTTCCATATGATGTGTCTGTTGTGAACGTGGAAAGAGCTTTTCAAATTGCATATCTGGTATGAAGATCCTTAAAACTACTTATTTGTCCTAGTATCTACTTTTTGGGAAAAATATTTATAAATGTGAAGAACTGTAAATCAGCAGAATTAAGCACCTTTATTTACATTAGGATTCAAGTTTTGTGCTTGTTTTTTCCCCATCTATACTGACCTTCATATTCTGTTTGAGGGAGGAAATGGAGTACTTTATAGGATGAAGTTCAAAAACACACATTTCTTATTCATATGAGAATACAATACATCAGGGACAAAATTCACAATTCCATATATAGTCACACTGAGCAGATGTCATAACATTATTACATCCCAGAACATGCTAATAGAGTCCTTCACTTGTGCAATTATTTCACAGCAGCACTGGGAAACAAAACAGTTCAAAAGGACAAACTGGCAAAAACAGTATTAGATAACTGTGAATATATAAACTAGTACTTGCCTCCATCACTTGCCCTTTAGCATGGCTGACATACAGCAGTCCCTCCACTGAACAAAACTGCAAAAGAAACTGGGTATGAGATGCAATTCTCAGAAATGGGAGGAAAGATGTACACAAACAACAAAGTGATCATGGTTCCAAATTCTAGTCCGTTTTTTTTTTTTTGTTTTGTTTTGTTTTTGGTTTGGTTTTGTTTTGGGGTTTTTTTGTCATTTAAATGCAAGTCCCTCTGGAAGCTGGGCTATTTTAAACTCTTTCAAATAACTGAAGGGATACAAATACAACTGCAGTTAAAACTGATTCATACAGAGTTAATCAAGAAGTTCTTGTGAAGGAACGTTTTCTCCTGGGGGTTTATGGCCATCAGCACGTGCTGAAAGCATAGGTGGATTTCAGGGCTCTAGCCTGGGAGGTCAGACTGGTCCACACAGATTTTATTTTCTATCCTTATTCAGTCATTCAATGTTCTGGGCACAAGTCAAAGAGCTTGCTCTTGTTTATCTGGAGTTCACCTAACAGGACATGAGAACTGTGAGCACTTTGAAACATGAGCCCCTTTCGGTCCATTTCACAGGG